CCGCCCCGGACACCAAATACAGCAGTGCCTGCAACACAAAAGCTGATCACTTCAAGTACAACACCGACGGCGACCGGATATGTTACTCCAAAGCCAACAACGCCAAGTCCGACGCCGGCTTCAACCGTGACTGCTACGCCAAAGCCGACCGCGCCGAGCCCAACACCGGCCGCCAGCGTGACTACAACGCCAAAGCCGACCGCGCCAAGTTCGACGCCGGCTTCAACTGTGACTGCTACGCTAAAGCCGACCACGCCGAGCCCAACACCGGCCGCCAGCGTGACTGGGTCTGGTACTCTGAAGCCAACAACGTCGGCTCCTACATCTGTGAGAAGTAGTAGTGGAGGCTGGGGAGATGTTGAGCAAAACTAAACGGCATGATCGTCTTTTCAATAATGAGCTCTATGATACAAAAGTGGTAAGCTTACATCCGTATTCATGTTGTCGGACTTGTGGAAGGAACTTGAGTCTGCAATTTCAATACATCAATAAATTATCGTCGCACACGACTTGTAGCTTTACATGGTAATGTGGCCATCCCGTAGCTGGTCTAATTGGGAGATGTTGGACTCATCTGCGCAAGCATACAAGTACATGTAATGCGCTTCACTCACCGAGCGCAGACGTGATCTGCGAAGCATACCGAACCAACCGCTCACCTTACGTTTTTTAATTCGCGAGCGGTTCTAGAACTTCTTGGTACACTGCATGTAGACAGCATGGTTCTTTCAGAGTGCTGGGTAAACACTGTGCGGATATTAATCAGCACATCCACGCAACGGCCAACTTGAGCGGTAAGTATAGCGTAAGGGAGGAGAGAGAGAGAAAGTGAAAGTTGTGCTTCGATGTTTAGCCAGCAGTACGCTGTCAACTCTAACAGAGCTTGATATGAGGAATGTAGTGTCAAATACGTGTAGATTTCAAACGCGGAGAAACTGCGAATGTCATTGCCAAAATGACATAAGAAAACGAACACAAACCACTAGTCGGCGACATGGAGTCCCGATCCACTGGGACAACTACCTCCAGCGGCTGCGGACAGTTGTATCACTTTGCTGAAGCCACTGTCAACTCATAATAAAGCAAGTAGCCCCGGGATTCTCGTTAGATGCCTTCGACAACAGACAACGTGGGGTCACGACTTTCCATCCAAACATACCACCGCCACATTGTCGAGATTTCGAATGGTACTGAGAGGAGAAGTCATAGCATAGTCGTTAAAGAAATACTCGGACAAACTTGGTGGCTTTGTCACGAATCTTGCTCATGAGATCGAGCCTCGACTTTATGGGTGTGTGTTAGAGATTTGCAAACTTCAGCGACGTGACGGGTAAGCTGGTCTCCCTGTCACAAGAGCTGGGGATAGAACGCAATACCATCACCAAAATGGTGATTAGTGAAATCCCTCCAATTGCTGCGAACTCCATGGAAGACAACCTCGAAGTTGCAACACGCACAGCCAAGTCGCTCATTCTTCATTTTGCTCGTTTGGCGAGAAGCACTACAACACCATCTCAACCAAGTGGTTGACAACATTACCACTTACTTCAGCATCGTCTCATGGCTACACCTGAACTACGAGTTAGTATCAACAGCTACCACGATGCTCCAACACAAGGCAGCCAGACCTATGCCATCATCGTCTGCATGTTTGCGTCGCTCGGTGGCTTCTTTTTTGGCTACGACCAAGGTGTCACATCGGGAGTTCTGATCATGGACTCTTTCCTTGAAGACTACTGTATGGGCTGGCATAACTTCACGTACGAGGACTGCACGCGGTCTTCGTCTGATCTTCCTGGACAATGGACGACCTTCACTGTCTGGTACAACATGGTTTACAACCTCGGTTGTTTGGTTGGTGCTCTGATCGGCGGCTATGTCGCTGATCGCTTCGGTCGCCGTGCCACGATCTTCTCGGCCGGTATCCTCTTCTGCGTTGGCACTTGCTGGCTGTGTCTTACTCCCTCTCAAGAACATACGATGATTTACTTCGCCCGTATCGTTCAGGGCTTCGGTGTCGGCAACTCGTCGTTCTCGCTTCCATTATTCGGGTCAGAGATGGCTCCAAAGGAACTGCGTGGTCGTCTGTCCGGACTCATGGCCATCCCAGTCACCTTTGGTCAATGGCTCGCTAACCTCATCAATATTCTGGTTGAGAACTCCGATCAAGGCTGGCGTATCAGTAACGCTGTGTCGATGATCCCGCCTATTATCGTTATGCTTGGCATCTTCTGCGTACCAGAGAGTCCTCGCTGGACGTACCAGCATAAGGGTCGAGAAATGGCGCTTAGTGTACTCAAGCGCCTACGTCAAACTGACAACGTCCGCGATGAATTGGACGCTATCGGAGCCCAGATCGACGAAGAAGAGACCGGTAATAAGGGGTTATGCGGTCTGTGGGAGCCGTCGATCCGCCGGCGTGTTATCATCGCAATGACCATTCAACTGGGACAGCAAGCAACGGGAATCAACCCTATTATGACGTACGGCTCTATGATTTTCAAGGATATCACTGGCGCTGGTGTATACGCATCATTGCTACTGAGTGGTGTCAACTGCTTGAGTTCGGGTCCTGGTTTGATCTGGCTGGACAAATATGGCCGACGTTACATGGCTCTGATCGGTGCTGTGGGCATGGTTATCGGTCACCTCTTTGCAGCTATCTTGTTCTCTGCAGTGTGCGACGGCAACGTCGACGACGCTGGTTGTCCTACGGTTGGAGGCTGGTTTATCTGTATTGGCACGGCGTTCTTCGTCTTCAGTTACTCCGTCTCGTGGGGATCTCTGCCATGGATCTACTGCTCGGAGATCTTCCCACTCAATGTTCGTGCTTCTGCTGTGTCCTTGTCGACGGCTGCGAACTGGGTGGGTGGCTGCGTCATGACGGAGGTCGTGAAACTCTTTCCGTACTTGAATATCAACGGCGTCTTCTTCCTATTTGCTGGCCTCGCTGTGTGCTGTGGTGTATTTATCTACTTCTTCTGTCCAGAGACCAAGGGCATTTTGTTGGAAGATGTTGAGGCTCTCTTTGACCGTGGTTATTACAGCACCACCACGTCTCCGTCGTTTGTCGAGGTCAAGACTCCCGTGGAGCGTAAAAGCGCTATCCAACTTGCTTAGTACGAGCGACGCAACACTACGCGTGACCTGTGACAACTTGCTTAAACTGAACTAAAAACATGTACATGACTTTTCAATTTTTGTCGAATGATTGACAACCAAAGTGTCGACTGTCGAAAACCCATCATCTGTGCGACCAGCGAGAGTATCTTCAAAGCAACGGCCAATGCAGGTCGAACTTGCGGCGGCAAGTATGTTGGTGGACGTCACCCTGGTATAATATCTGTCATTTCCGCACAGATATTTGGAAACTCACAAACTTTGAAAATGAACCGGTAGTCGATAACGAAGCCGCAGCGTCACCAGCCCGATGGTTCTAGCTATTACGGTTATGTTAGCAGCGCTGGCAGTACGCATAACTGATTCTCAGCAAGCAGTCCCAGACTGGATTGTAAGAGTTCTAGCGCATTTGTGGGTTCTCTGTCTCAATGCCAATGAAATTATCTGTTGTTGCTGCAGTTAATGTAGGATGCGCTTTCGTCCGCAACATCTTCAAGGCGATCAAGCAGGCAAATAATCCTTTCTCGCGGTTCGGAGTGGCCACGGCGACGCACCCCTCTCACAACAGCCGCGTGACTATGATCTATCCGTCTTTGAAAACTAATGTCAGCATCGAACCAGCAACCAGCCTAGATTATTATAGCGCTAGTCATTTGCTGCCGTGAACGGAGCCCGGCGCATGAAGCGCATTCCACGCACGGCATTCTTTTCGGCAGGTTAGTGCACGACACAGGGATCCCGCACATGCATTCCGCTACAGCTCCAAGACAACCGAGTCCTATTTCTGAAGTTGTGTCCGTCTCAAATGCGGGATTGCAGGTTTTGTCCTGGTGTTGCTCGCAGAGACGGGCGTGGACACGCTTGACAGGCCATCCTGAAGCGAAGCCAAGATTATGCGCCGCGCAGTCCTGGTTCTGAAGGTCCCGAGCTGACGATGGAGCTCAGCTCGAGAAACGCGCCGAGCGTGGACGCCTTGATTCATTCTTGAAATTTCACCTCGGACAAGAAGCGTCTCCTTCCCCGTTGCGCCGGGGACACCTTCAGGACTCACCGCCACGTTACCAAGCTCTGGTCCCGCATGGCGCCCAGCGTGAACGTCCACAGTTTCCACGATGCGGACACCCCGACCACGGGCAGTACCCGTTACGCCATCATCGTCTGCGCGTTCGCTTCGCTCGGTGGGTTTTTCTTCGGCTATGACCAAGGCGTGACCTCGGGGGTGCTGATTATGGACTCGTTCTTGAACGACTACTGTGTCGGTTGGCACAATTTCACCTACGACGACTGCACTCGTTCGTCCTCCGACCTCCCTGGACAATGGACGACCTTCACCGTTTGGTATAACATGGTCTATAACCTCGGCTGCCTGGTTGGTGCTCTGATCGGCGGCTACGTCGCTGACAGGTTCGGTCGTCGAGCTACGATCTTCTCCGCCGGCGTGCTGTTCTGCATTGGAACGACCTGGGTGTGTCTGAACCCCGCGCAGGACCACACGCTCATGTACATTGCGCGTGTCGTGCAGGGCTTCGGTGTCGGTAACTCGTCGTTCTCGCTTCCGCTGTTCGGATCCGAAATGGCACCAAAGGAGCTTCGCGCACGTCTGTCCGGCCTGATGGTGCTCCCGGTCACGTTCGGCCAGTGGCTCGCTAACCTTATCAATATTCTCGTCATGGACGACAGCAACGGGTGGCGTATCAGTAACGCTGTGTCGATGATTCCTCCGGTGATCGTCATGTGCGGCATCTTCTGCGTACCTGAGAGCCCTCGATGGACGTACCAACAGAAGGGAAGAGAGGAGGCTGAGGCTGTTTTAAAGCGGTTACGACAGACGGACGACGTACGCCATGAACTTGAAGCGATCGGTGACCAAATTGATCAGGAGGAGACAGGTAACAAGGGCATGGCTGGACTATGGGAGCCGACAGTACGGCGACGTGTGTTTATCGCGATGGCGCTGCAGCTCGGCCAGCAGGCGACCGGTATCAACCCCATTATGACGTACGGCTCGCTTATTTTCAAGGACATCACGGGTGCCGGTATCTACGCTTCGCTCCTTCTGAGTGGCGTCAACTGCTTGAGCACCACGCCTGGTTTGATTTGGCTGGACAAGTACGGACGTCGCTACATGGCCATGATCGGTGCTGTAGGTATGGTCATCGGCCACTTGTTCGCTGCTATTCTGTTCACGGCGATCTGCGACGGCAACGTCGACGACTCCGGCTGCCCCACCGTCGGCGGCTGGTTTATTTGCATTGGCACGGCCTTCTTCGTCTTCAGCTACGCAGTGTCTTGGGGTGCTCTGCCTTGGATCTACTGCTCGGAGATTTTCCCCCTCAACGTGCGTGCGTCTGCAGTATCTGTGGCCACGGCAGCCAACTGGATCGGTGGTGCCCTCATGACGGAGGTTGTGAAGCTCTTCCCGTACCTGAACATCAACGGCGTTTTCTTCATGTTCGCTGGGCTTGCACTGATGTGCGGCCTGTTCATTTACTTCTACTGTCCGGAGACTAAGGGCATTTTGCTTGAGGACATCGAAACACTCTTCAGCCGCAGTAACCACACGGCCACGTCGCCGTCTTACGTCGCAGTAAAGACCCCAGTGGCTGCGACCGAAAAGAGCCCAGTCGCCATGGCTTAACCTGTTCTAGTGTTGCAAGACTGCCGTATTGAACCCCTAAAGCAATATGCGTGTCGTTGTTGTAGTTAGTCGATACCAGGAGTAGGTGGAGTTATCTTACACGACAGGCATCCTGAACTGTTCATCACTACACCACAAGAAGTACTATTTGAAATCATGTTCATTGTCATGCTTGGTTTGGTCTACTACATTTTCCGTATGCACGCGATATTTGCCACCGCTCTTGTAGAGCTCTACGGATACTTGCCGTGGTCGGCGAGGGTTT